CACCTTTTGGTCCGCCTCAACCATGAGATACAACCACCCAGCAGCCTTTGCCTCCTCCACCTCCCACTTCTCCAGTAGTGTGGCCTCCGCTTCAGTGGGGGCTTTGGGGTCCGCAGCCTGTGGCTTGAGGTGGGCACCAGAGACAAGGCGCCATAGGCCTGCAGAGCGCAGACAGGCAGCCATGTCCCCAGCCCAGGACTTGTAGTTCGAGGCATTGAGCTTGGGGAAGGAGAGAGAGGACGAGTGGTTCGACATTTGTGGCACAAGCAGAGTGGCAGAGAGTGAAAGCGCAGATTGTGGCAAGAGGGAAAGATGTGAGAGTGTAGGGACAAGAAGTGGTCCGAAAATCGAAGAGATTGACTCTGTGGCGCGCTAGTAGTGTGTGTAGTTGACTGCTAGAGCGCGGGGCTCATAACCTATCAAAAAGGCGACGCAGGGAGCAGTTGCACAGAACTAGCACTGAAGGACTGAATGCCACAAGTGGGGCTGAAGTCGAAGTGGGTCACAGAAGTATGGATTAAAGGGTCGCTACAGAGCTCTTTATATACATGAGCAGGGGAAAGCATTCCCACGGCAGAACAATAGAAGAAAGAACAAAGCAGTCCAAAAGGAGAACAAGGGCCACTTGGCCACAGGAACAATGCAACAAAAGAAGTGTGGCCGGAGCTCTGCTCCGGTCCGAATGCTCCGCAACTGATGCAACCATGTGGTCACATGGTGTGGTGGCTCCCGCCACCGGGGGATCGTCCTAGGCCGACCAGGGGACTGTGGCAGAGCACATTGTGACATCGCCACCGTGATCGCACTGCAGGTCCTTAATGGCAGTAACACCTCGATGTGTTTTCACCCATGCAGCATATGCCTTGTAGCGGGAGAAGGTCTCACTCTTCTGAGACAGCAAGTGCACGATGGCTTTGTCTGTGTGATCGTCAAGGAAAAGGACATAGTAGGATTTCCCGCCTGGGGTTCATACAGGTGCGGGGCCCCAGACGTTGGTGTGGAGGCGTTCACCATATTGAGTGGCCTGCGGGCTGGATCACGCCTTTGGGAATGGCTCGCGGGCCTACTTTGCCTTGGCGCATGTTTCACAGAAGGGGATGGCGGTGTCCTCAAGCTTGAGGCCAGTGACAACATTGTTCTTCACCATCACATGGAGGGCGGGAGCATAGGCATGGCCCATCCAGCGGTGAAGCTCAGACAAGGTAAGTGGAGTGATGGCAGCTCAAGCAGTTACACCACCAGAGGGAGACGTTGGAGGGGGTGAACAAGGGGGTACAGACCATTCTTCTCAGCAACAATGAACAAAGTTTGCCCGTCAGCAGCAACAACATGACAGCCGTCACATTCGAAGCAGACACTGAGGCCAGTGTTCGCAGCATGGATGGAGATAAGGGCATAGGGCATTGTCGGAGCATAGAGAACATCACGCAGGACAAACTGGGTAGGCTTTCCATTATGAATGGTGGTCACCTAGACATCACCCTCCCCAGTGGCGTGAAAAGTGCAGCCATCGACGGACGTGATTGGCTTCGGCATGATGTCTTGGAAAGTAATGAAATTCTCCCGGCAAGGATCAAAGTGGCGACTAGCTCCGGAGTCAAGGAGACGCATGAGAGTGGGTAGGTTCTGGCGGGAGGCCTTTGCGAAATCGGTCGCAACTGCGAATGCAAAAGTATCCCCATCTTGGGCTGATGCAGTCTTCACTGTCTCTCCCCCTGAACCCTTCACCTTAGCCTTCGCCTTCTGGGCTTTGCTCCTTGGCCCTTGTCCCTCCTTGCCTCCGCCCTTGCTCCAATAATCCGGCTTTGAGTAACCAGGCTTGTTGCAGTTGGTGCACTTTGCCGTGTTGCTGGCTACGAGTGTGGCATCACTTGTCAATCATGAGTCGTTCAATGCGAACTCATCACGCGCGATTGCGTTGATCTGACGGATAAGCTCGACAGGTTTGATTCCCAAGGAAGGAGTCGTGGGTGTGACCGAGGAAGTGATTGCTGCCTGGGAAAGGGACGAGATGCAAGCTGAGGTAATAATTGTACGTACAACACCCCAATACGACATAGGAAGGCAAGACAATATAATTGCCTTATATTCGATATCGCTGAGCTGACCCCCAGCCATCGTGTACTCTGACCTGACCTTCTCGAGTTGGTTCAGAGTTGGGCAAGGGTCGCTATCTTCCGCGCACCAGAGTGCATGCATTTGTTGAAGCAACTCGACTTGTACAAACTCCCCTTGGTTGTCGTATTCATCTACGATGACCTGCCATGCTTCGGAGGCTTTCTGCAAGGAAGCAATCCGAAGCTTGAGGGATTCAGGCAAGGTCTGGAACAGCATCGTCCGTATGGACTGATGCTTCGGGACCCATACATCATTCGCACTCTCGTAGCATTTGTCGGCATCCGGATCTATGCCTGAAGCTGTAGTTGGGACCGGAGCTTTGTCGTGGTTTTCAAGGAACTGCACCAATCCTTTTGTGTAGACGGCCGCACAGAACTGCTCCTTGTACAGGATCCAGTTTGATCCATCCTCAATTAATTTTGGGATGCGGCTGGTTGTCGACTTGTTCGGATTGAGCTGGAACTCATAAGAGGAGGTGGGGCTCATAACCTCTTAATGAGGTATGAGTGACATAGGATTTAACGATGTTCGGTCAGAGCTTCAGTGAGTAGAATATCGACTCTATTACTGTACCTAACGACGTTCAGTCACTTTACAGGAGATCAGTATATGTACAGTACTTAGAGGTAGAAAAGGACTTACGAGCTTCAGTGAGTAGAATATTGACTGAAGCTCGCATTGTGAAAATGACAGGTATATAGCATGCCGTAGTAGGGTGAGTCACCTGTATCTATGGTGCGCGGGCTAAATGAAAAGGATGGGGTATCTACAGACAGGAACAGGGGCGCCAGGGGCGCAACAACATCACGCTGATCCTGATGCAATAATGCAACGTCATGCGCGCGCATATTCACGTAGGGCGTATGGACGCGCTTGTCTGTCAACATAGTGATGCATCCATATCAGGTATGTAGTATAAAGGTCGCGGGTTCAAGCCCGTGAAAAGGAAAAAATTCAAAAATGGCTAGACACCGTGTCAACTCGTGACACCCTCGAGCAAAGCAAGCAAGGGCTTGCGCGCACTCCCTGCTTCTCGGCACTTGGCACTCCCTCAATCTCAGCATTCATCCTTACACTCTCTCAGTGGGTCCACGATCCATCCCTGTCATGAGTTGGTACGGCGTCTAGCCTTTTTTTAATTTTTTCCTTTTCGCAGGCTCAAACCTGCGACCTCTGTACTACATGCCTGATATGGACACGTTATTATCTACTGTACGATTAGATTAGATGGGGCGGCAGCGCACGGCACAGCTCGGGCTCCGCTGACACAGCCGCTCTGACTCACCGGCCCCCGGGGCCGCGTCAGCACGCTGTGCACGGACCAGCTGTGCACGGACCAGTGCGCACAGCCTGCCCTTATCTCCCCATGTATATAAGCCAACCTCTGCTGCCCTAGGGACCTCAGTTTCGACCTCTTGTCCCTAGGTCAGTAAGCCCTCATTTGTATTCCTTTCTTACCTTACTAACTAATGCATTTACTTGTCCCTAGCCTTAGGTTTGAGCATTGCTCACCATCGCTTCGGTGAGAATCAGTCAGATGCCCCCCAGCTTTCAGGTTTTCTCCAGTCGCTTGACCTCAAGTCGCGACATTAGGTCAAAACTCCCCAAGCTGCCGGCGTCCCCTCGGGACTCTCTATATTCACTTTCCTTTCCCACAGGTCGGGTGGTGCGCACCCCTACGATACTCTACGGTACATACGATACGTAGATAGCCTTACATACATCGCCACCCCTAGAGGAATGAACTCTTCAGCACCTGCACTTCAGTGGGCGGTGCTTGTTCTCACGGACGCGTGGTCTAGGTTCCTGCTGCATACTAGCCAAAAGCAGTACTGGGCCCCACGTGAACTGCGAACCTCAGGGTCTTCTCGGGCGCCATAGCGTAAGCTAGTGTAGCACGGCCATTTTTAGTATGCGCACCTCCCTGTCCTCCCCCCATCCAACGTGGCTGCCTGCCAAGGTCAAGTTCACACATTCGACTCTCAGGACCTCATCGACGTCTACCTCCCAGACGGCCCTGAGCCTGCCCTCTACCGTTGCGAACAGCAGCCGTGCCCCAACCGGACACCCCGATCAATCGCAGAAGACTACCCGCGCTACAAGCCAATCAGAAGGGCCCAACATCTGCTTGGTCCCCGCAGCACCCTCGCATCTCGATCCGCCTCGCGGCATTCTCGCCCTGTCTCCCCCAGCTCCCGCCTTCCCCAAACTGTCGCCGAGTCCAGTCAAGCTCGAGGAGATCTCCCTCCAGACCCTGCGCCAGAGCCTGAGCCTGAGGAGGGTGCAGGTGAAGAAGGAGTCTCGGAGTCCGAGTCCGTGGATCCTGCTCGGTCCACCTCGCCGACAGCGCTTGCCCCCACGTCAGCAGTCCCTGATGTACGTAACCCCCTCACCGGACTTTCTCCGGCGCCTTCACCGCCGTCACCGCCGCGAGGCCGCTCGTGCACTTGCTCCCCTCGTAGTCCGATCAGCGGAGGGCCACCACAGCCGCCTCCGCCCCCGCAGCGTCCTCTGTCCCCCCCGACGCCGATAATGTCCTCCCCCGCAGCCGCCCCTGATAAGGAGACTTTGGAGCTCCTCCTCCCGCTCCGATACGATGGCAAGACCGTCATCGAATGCGACAGGTTCTTGTCGCAACTCCGCATCTATTGGTTGATCAACACGTCGTTGACGACCATCGAGCTCAAGGTGCAAGTTGCGTTGAGCCTGCTCGACGGTGACACCCATGCCTGGGCCACTCCTTACTTCGCCCAACTCGCGTCGGTGCAGATGCGTGTGCAAGGGGTCACGACCCCGTTTCAGAACGAAGCAGCCTTCACTGCCGCCTTCAAGGCTCGCTTCGGAAATCTCGACGACGAGGCGGCAGCACAAGTAGAGTTGGCGAAGCTCTGCGCGGACAAGTCGGTCCGTGAAAAACGCACCGCCGCGGAATTCTCCGCGCTGTTCAAGGGTCCGGCGGACCGTTCTGGGTATGGGGACCTGGAACTGCGCGACAAGTACCTGAGCGGCATCCCCTCCCGCATCTACCGCAAGATCGAGCTCGAGACCTTCACCACGTGGAAAGACGCTGAGAAGCGCGCCACCGAGGTCGAGCAGATCCTCAACATCAGCCAGACCCGTCGGCCCGAGTTGAACAACTTCTTCTCGGCACGAGGTCGAGGGCGTGGAGGGGCACGTGGTGGTGCACCCCAGTCACACGCAGCTTTGGCCAGCATCAATGCGGCCGTCGGAAAAGGAGACTTCCCCGGCAGTTGTTTCGGCTGCGGAAAGCAAGGGTACTGATGTTTTGAGTGCCCCAACTGTAAGGACAAGCCTTACACAAAATGCGCCAATGCACGGGCTACGGTTGCCTCGGGTTCCACCCAGGCAGCGACAAGCGCCCCCATCACATCATCCTCGGCGAGTACAAGCACCACTTCAGCGAAATCGGAAAGTTCCGAGCTGGCAGACTTGATAGCACAGATGAAGTCGATGCGCGAGGAGCTCGAGCATTATCGGGCGATGAAGGAAGAGTCTTTTTGATCCGGTCCGCGCTTCGTGCCGCACGTATCGGGCCGCGTAATAATAATCTGTACAATGTATTGGCGACCGCAAATGTGTACGAGTTGGACCACGGGTCCCAGCATTTCCACATCCCGGTGCGCCTCAAAGGAGAAAGATGGCACAAAGACATAGTTGCAATGATGGACAGCGGAGCCACCACGAAGTTCATCAATAAGTGTTTCATCATGGAGAATCGAGTATGGACGCGGAAATTAAAGGAACCAATTCCGCTTTACAATATTGATGGAACACTCAACAAAGACGGAAGCATCTCGGAAGTAGCCGTGCTACAGATGCAGATAGGAGATCACATCGAAAAAACAGTGTTTACGGTCACAGACATCGGTCCAGAAGATGTGATCATTGGGTTGGATTGGCTACGCGAGCACAACCCCAAGATCGATTGGGAGAAAGGCTCCCTCAAGTTATCATGATGCCCTGAAACGTGCAGTGCCCAAAGGACTGGCTGGATTGAGCAAGCAGCGACTGCGCGTGATACGGGGGACAGGCCCACGGTGCGCAGGCGTTCGCCGAAGTCCAAACGGTCGGTCGTAGGTGCCTGCCGGAGCAAGGTACTCCTGGACTTTGAACCCGAAGAAGATCCGGTGGAAGTAGAGTGGGACAAGGCTGATTTGATCGAAGCCTGGGAGCAAGGTATCTGTCAGAATTTGACTACACAACACCTGCATGAAAAGATCGGCACAACCAGGGTTTGAACCCGGGACCTACCAGAGATGCACTGGGCGCTCTACCACTGAGCTATTGGACCTTGGTTACTATGGAATCATGAAGTCTCATATACGTTACTTCAAGGGTATGAACATGATCTATATTATAGATTCAGAGGTTCTTAACCGTCTCATATGTGTCAGAGCACACATTTGACAGTATCATGCTCCCCGGCGCCCCTCAGCTATTCGTCACAGCAGGGCATACGTACTCCCAGCTGTTCGCTGAGGAGGAGATTAAAAAGAAGGTCGTTAAGACCGCCGAAGAATCGGTACCTAAACAGTACCACGAGTTCCTGAATGTCTTCTCCAAAGAAGCATCAGAACGGCTACCCGAAAGGAAGCCTTATGATCATGCAATCGAACTCGTGCCCGGCTACTCGACGTTCCACTCGAAGGTGTATCCCTTATCGAACAATGAGCAGGAGGAACTTGACAAGTTCCTAAAGGAGCAACTAGCGAAGGGCTACATACGGGAATTGAAGTCACCCATCTCGTCCCCCTTCTTCTTCATCAAAAAGAAGGAAGGAACACTTTGACCCGTGCAGGATTACCGCCGGTTGAATGCGATCACCGTCAAAAATCGTTACCCCCTGCCGTTGATCGCTGAGATGGTGGATAAGCTCCGCGGCGCTACGCTCTTTACGAAGTTCGATGTCCGATGGGGATACAACAATGTCCGGATCAAAGCCGGTAACAAGTGGAAAGCGGCCTTTGTGACCAACCGAGGGTTATACGAGCCCCTGGTGATGTTCTTTGGCCTCACCAATTCCCCCGCGACCTTCCAGGCGATGATGAATGAGATCTTCCATGATCTCATCGTCGTGTCACAACGTGCTCTGCCACAGTCCCCTGGTTGGCCTAGGACGATCCCCCGGTGGCGGGAGCCACCACACCATGTGACCACATGGTTGCATCAGTTGCGGAGCATTCGGACCGGAGCAGAGCTCCGGCCACACTTCTTTTGTTGCATTGTTCCTGTGGCCAAGTGGCCCTTGTTCTCCTTTTGGACTGCTTTGTTCTTTCTTCTATTGTTCTGCCGTGGGAATGCTTTCCCCTGCTCATGTATATAAAGAGCTCTGTAGCGACCCTTTAATCCATACTTCTGTGACCCACTTCGACTTCAGCCCCTCTTGTGGCATTCAGTCCCCCAGTGCTAGTCCTGTGCAACTGCTCCCTGCGTCGCCTTTTTGATAGGTTATGAGCCCCGCGCTCTAGCAGTCAACTACACACACTACTAGCGCGCCACAGAGTCAATCTCTTCGATTTTCGGACCACTTCTTGTCCCTACACTCTCACATCTTTCCCTCTTG